TGTTTGGTCAGAAAATTAAGGAGGAAAATGTCTTTAGCTTAAGTCTTAGGCCTTATTTATCAACAAACAATGTTGGTGGAGTTTTAATGAGATCCACTAATTGATTCTTTTTTTTGCATGCCCCTTGGCAATCACATGATTAAAAGGCTTGCACATCACATCTGATAAACATTTTTCTTATTGATTTTTAATTTGTTATTATTTTGAATTGTACAATTAAAAATAATTTTTTTATTAATTAAACCACCTTACTTACTACCATGCAATTTAAATTTAATAAATACATATATTTTATTTTAAGTTACATAATTAAAGTCAGCTTTCTTCTATTTCTTAACCTACTCCACTCATAGCCAAGCAATTGGAATCCAAAGTCTCTTCTTTCTCTTAAAGTAGAGATTACCATTTAACCACTCATGTATATCACATCTGATAACTTGATTAAGTTAGAATGCAACTAGCAACTCAAATCACTAAAGTAATTTAATTACCTAAATTATTTCATTTTTAGTAATTAAGGACAAAAGTTTGCAAAAACTTACAATTAAAGACATAACAGTTTCACTATAATCTTGGTAAGGTAATTAGTTAACTTAGATTTGATAATTTTTAAAAAGTTTGAATAATTTCAGTAGACCCGTTTGAGTAGATCATGGATGCTTGCATCCGCCCCTCTTACCCAAATTTTAAGATAATCAAATTTAAAAATCTTAGGACTCGGAGTTCACAGGATGTTAAAAAACAAGACTCGAAGTTCACGGGATGTGACACATTTTCTTGGTTTAAAAAATAATTATTTATTTATTTATTTTAAATTATATAATAAAAATAATATTTTTTAATTTTTAATTTTTAATTTATCTTATTTATGTATTATATAATTTAAATTTATAATTTTTTAATTTTATTAAAAAAATTTACTAAATTATTTAAGTTATTTATCCAAACTATTTATAGTGTTACAATCTTTTGTTCAACTTTAATTGTTCCTTTTTTAATTTAGGACGTTTAAATTTAATCAATTACATTTTTATTTAGAAATATCATTTAATATATTTATTTTTATTGTATTTTTATTTTTTTTAAATAATTATAATATATATTATAACAATACAATAAGTGTATTTATTTAGGTTATCAGTAATTAAGAATAAAAATAAAATTTTATTAATTAATTATTATATTTTTATTTTATAAGAAAAACTAAGTAGATTAAAATTGAATAGATGGAGTACATACTTGTAATAAGATGGTTTAAGTACCATTTTGGTCCCTCAACTTATCACTTTGGTACCAAAATTGTCCCTCAACTTTAAAAAGTGCCAAAATTATCCTTGAACTTTCATTTTTGGTACCAAAATGGTCCTTCCGTAAGTTAAACGCCAGGTGGCACGTTAAAATGCCAACAAATCAATTTTTTTTTTCTTAATCAATGACATGGAAAAAAAAAACATAGTTTAACTATTTTTTTTTATGAGTTGGCATTTTTATTTAATTTAACAATAATAATATTTTTTTTTTGCATACACGCCTCAGAAAAAAAAATTTTCTTCTTCCCCTTTTACTCTCTCTCCTTCACCTTTCCTTCCCCTTTCTTCTGCAAACCCAGATCTGGAGTGGACGCTCGATAAACAAAATTTTCTGTAAGGACCAGATTGCGGTTCTCTTCTGTAGGGCTGACTCGGCGAAGCTCTGTTTGTTCTGCGACCAGCATGTGCACTCCGCGAACCTGCTTTTGCGGAAGCACTTGCGGTCTCAGATCTGCGATAACTGCGGTTCTGAGCCGGTTGCGGTTCGGTGCGTGACGGATAATTTGGTTCTGTGTCAGGAGTGTGATTGGGATGCGCACGGGAGCTGTTCTGTGTCTTCCGCGCATGAGCGGACTCCGGTTGAGGGGTTCTCCGGATGTCCTTCGGTTCTGGAGCTGGCGTCTGCCTGGGGGCTTGATGATAGGACTTCCTTGGGTTGAAAATAATATGGGCCACGATTCATGTTACGGGGTTACAAGATTCGGAGTTTGTAGAGCAAAATCTAATCCCTGATTCTTGTGTTGTAGATGGATCTGGGTTTGATGGAGGAAGACCCAGATCTGGGTTTGCAGTAGTGAAAAGGAAAGGACTTCCAGTGACGAAGAAGAAGGCACAAGCTCTGGGTCTTTCCCTGGGTTTTCTCGAACAACGATTCGACAAAATAGCATCATCGGAAAGGACTTTCGACGACGAAGAAGAAGGCACGAGCTCTGGGTCTTTCTCTGGGTTTTCTCGAACAATGATTCGACAAAATAGCATCATCGGAAAGGACTTCCAGCGATGAAGAAGAAGGCACGAGCTTTGGTACAAGATTCGGAGTTTGCAGAGTATAATTTAAGGACTTCCTCCTTGATTCGGGCGTTGCAAACAGATCTGGGTTTATTGAGCGTCCACTCCAGATCTGGGTTTGCAGAAGAAAGGGAAAGGAAAGGTGAAGGAGAGAGAGTTAAAGGGGAAGAAGAAAAAAAATTTTTTCTGACGTGGATGCAAAAAAACAATATTATTATTGTTAAATTAAATAAAAATGCCAACTCAGAGAAAAAATAGTTAATTATGTTTTTTTTTTCCATGTCATTGATTAAGAAAAAAAAAAGAATTGATTTGTTGGCATTTTAACGTGCCGCCTGGCGTTTAACTGACGGAAGGACCATTTTAGTACCAAAAATGAAAGTTCAAGGATAATTTTGGTACTTTTTAAAGCTGAGGGACAATTTTGGTACCAAAGTGATAAGTTGAGGGACCAAAATGGTA